TGTTTGTTTGTTTGTTTCCCCTAAAGCCTCTTCTTTAAACATAAAGGAAGTCCGAAGGCAGCGACTCTGAGAAAGGCGGCGTCTTACCCAACCTCCAAAAGGGGAACCCGGGGACCGCTGCTCGGGCCAGGTGGGCAGCCCCGCGCCGGTGGCAACGGACGCGACGCGCGTGGGATCTCAGAGCAAAGGGAAGTGTGGAAACCGTAGTCCAACCGTCCCTGCGAGCGAGGAGAGCCGAGGCCCAGGGTGGCGGCCGAGGCGGTCAAGCCCAGGGTCACACAATCAGACGCGGCCCCACAGGGGACGCCCGGGGCTCGGAAATCACAGGCCTGCTGCTCTGCCGCCTGGAAGTCGGGGTGCGGGGCCCCCCGCGGGGCTTTCGGCTGAGGTTCTGATTCAGGGTCGGGGCCTCCACTGGATGGGGTTTGGGGAGATGCTAACAGTGAGCCTCCTTCCGGAGCCGATACCATCAAGGCTCTGTTTTATGAAGAAACTGAGGCTTCTTTCACAATCTCTGGTCTCAGCGCCGCCTCGGACGGGACCCTGTGAATCAGAACGGTGTGGCTGTTCATTAACTACCGACCAGGTGATTGGTTCCTGTTTTTTTTTTAAAGCTCAGCTCACAGGGGCCAGAAGGAAGTTTCTCTGGTGCCGTGGGAGCTCCTGAGCCTGAGAGTGCCCTGGCCTGTGTCCTGGGCCGCCCCGGCCCCGAGCCCGAACCCCGGGGGATACCAAAGCTCCCAGAGGAGGTCGGTTCTCCCACGGCCTCTCGCCGAGCTCTCTAGGGCCGGACACAGGCCTCCGGGTTCTGGAAAAAATGCAAAGATCCGGGGGGATTCATTGTTCCCCCTCTTGCCCCAGCAAGCAGCCTCCCCATCTCCAGGCAGCTGGCTCCCTGGGGGCTGCACAGACCGCGATGGACCGAGATGTGATGAGCGCGGGGCCGAGGGCAAGTGCCATGGGACAGGCGCTGAGAGACCCCGGCAGGCCTCTGTCCTCGCCCAGCCTCAGTTTACCCCGTGACCCGGAAGGCAATCGCTGCTTCCCTTGCCCCGTGGGTGTGGGATCTGATGACAATGCACTGGGGAGCTCTCAACCCTGTCCTGTGTCCCCCTTGCCTGTCGGCTCAGTTCCCTCCGTGCAGGATAAATGCCCACCGCCCCCGTGCCCCGGTCTGGCGGTCAGGAGCGTGGGGCCTGGGCTGGACGGCCGGTCCCGCTCCACCTCGCTCTGCCCTGGGATCCGAGCCGCCTCTCAGCCATGGTTTCTCCTCTCTAAAATGGGGGAACGGCGACTTGGCTGACAGGGCGGGTGAGCGGAGCTGAGACTAGGCAGGTCGCCTGCCTTTGGTTCTAGCTGACTCACTAATAAAATACTACGTTAAAAAAAAACATCTTTTGATAGAGAGACAGAGGCTCCCCCAGAACAAAGGGCACATGTAGGGGTCTCCGCTCCAACCGCCCAGGGCCTGGCCTCACCAGTGCGTTGCTGATGCCGAGAAGAAGGGGAAGAAGGGGCTGCGGAGCCCGGTGGGTGGAGGGTGGAGGCAGGAAGAAGACTGTCCCCGGGAGATAAGGCTGCGTGGGCTGCCGGCGAGCTGGGAGGACAGCAGGCCGGGCGAGCCCTGTGAGGCCCAAATCTGAGAGCTGGCTGGGCCGGCGTGGCTCAGTGGTTGAGCGTCGACCTATGAACCAGGAGGTCACAGTTTGATTCCCGGTCAGGGCACATGCCCAGGGGTGTGGGCTCCATCCAGCCCCAGTGTGGGGCGTGCAGGAGGCAGCCGATCCCTGATTCTCTTTCATCATTGAGGTTTCTATCTCTCTCTCCCTTCCTCTCTGAAATCAATACAAATAATATATTTAAGAAAAGTCTGAGAGCTGGACAGACCCCAGAGCCTTCAAGTCCCACCCCCCCATTTCAGAGCCCAGAGGGGTGGCCTGGAGCAGGGCCCCTGCGCCTGGTCAGGGCGTGTCCCCCCCCTCAGAGCGGGACTCCGTGGGCCAGGCTGGGGCCGGGATGGGATGATGAGACCGGACAGGCCTTAGTGGTGCCTGCCCTCCTGGCGCGTTTCCCCTGGGCGGAGAGGCCCAGCGCTCAGCGCTCCCTGCAGCCCGGGCGCCACGCCGGCACGCCACACGCCTGTTTGTCATAAATGAAGGCCCGTTCTTGCCGGCGATCCCAGGATGCTGGGCTGGGCACTGAGGCATACAGCAAGGAGGGCCAGGCCTGGGCCGGCGCCAGGCAGGGTGGCATTGCCCAAACTCCTGATGCCGCTGGGCGGCTCCGGGCACCGTTGGGGGTCCCTCTCCTGCCTGGCTCGGGGAGGGGGCACCCCCTTGGAGGCTCCCCGGGTTTGCTCTGAAGGCAAGCTCCACGCTGGCCTATCTCCCTTCTCCAGGGCTGCCGGCCATGCCTTATCGCCGGCCCTGGCTGTGGTTCAGAGCAGCCGCCATCCCGTTCCCGCGCTTGGCCCTATCGCCCCTGCAGCCAGGGAGGCGGGGGCCTCCTCCTCTGAGACCTGGATGGCCCAGCCTGCAGAGAAGGGGACAGGCCCAGGGAGGTTAAGGGTGGGCCCGCACTGCGCAGCAGGTGAGCTGGGATGCGAAGTCACTAGCATCTGGCTCTACCACAGGGGCTGAGGGCACCTCTTTCTGTGGCCCCTGAAGGCCCATCCAGCCAGGTTGCAAGTGCGGCTTCCGGGGGTGGCCCGCAGGGCGCCCCACACGGAGACCCTGCCTTCCTCTCTGCTCTGAGCAATGGGGGTTCGGGGTGTGCGGAGCAGCAGGCCGGCCTGGGTGCTCTAGAGGTGGGTGTGCTCATTTCCTGCATTAGGACTGATAGTTGCCACAACCAAGTGCCACAAACCAGGTGGCTTAAAACAGCAGGTCTTCTCCCAGGTTCTGACGTCTACAGAACCAGAACCCAGGCGCCAGCCAGGCCGGTTCCCGCCGTGGGTTCCCAGGGAGTGTGTCTCGCGCCTCTCTGGGGGCCACCAGGACTCCTTGGCTTGTGGCCGCATCACTCTAATCCCTGCCTCCGCCTCCACATGGTGGCCCCAATCCAGTTCAATCTCTAATGTGGTCACATCTGCAAAGACCCTACTTCTAAAGAAGGTCACATTCACAGAGTCCGGGTGGACAAGAACTTTGGGGGGACACTGTTCAACCCAGGACAGTGGGTTCTGACTTCAGGGGGAGGCTGTCCTCCTCACCGCGCTCACCTCTCCCCTGGCAGGTGCTGGGTGCACGCCGACCATGCCTCGCTCCTTCCTGGTGAAGAGCAAGAAGGCTCACACCTACCACCAGCCCCGCATCCAGGACGATGAACCATTCTGGCCTCCCGTCCTGAGCCCGGGTGAGTGATAGCACAGGCTGGGCCCCGCTGCACCCGCTGCACCCCGGCCCCTGCCCCACAGGACGGGGCTGCAGCAGCCCACCCCGCTCCAGGTCTGGGCACAGGGGACCTGTCCCTGCTGGCTGAATGAATGAATGAATGCATGCATGTGTTCGCCCATCTCCCTGAGCCCTGGGGGCCAGGAGAGCTCAGCGTGGAGCTGGTCGGTAGCTGCAGATGAGGGCGAGTGGGTCTCAAACGGAGCCCGATCCAGGGCTGAGCTCGGGGCTCCGGGAAACCGAGACGGTCCAAGCGTTCTCCCGGGGTCTCCCCTGGCCTCCAGCCGCTCCCCCTCTGGGCAAAGCCAAGCACCTTTCTCTCCGGGCCCCTCCTCCTGGGGAGTGAGTCCTCCCCCTGGGTCCCTCCCAGGGCTGCGGCCGGGGCGCTGAGGGCCTTGTCTCGCACAGTGGCCAGCGACCAGGTCCCGAGCAGCCACCCTGTCCTCGGCACCCTGCTCCCGGGCCCGCATCTGGACTGGCCCGACCTCAAGCGGGAGCCGGCGCTGGAGCTGGACCAGAGCTGGACCAGCATGGCCTCCGCACCAGGTACCTGCCCACGGCCCCAGCCCCACCCCAGTGAGTGCGAGGGGGAGAGGGACCTCAGAGTCCGGAGTCAGGGCCGAGGGACAAGGCCCCCTGGATGCTGGGCTCTCGGGCTTCTGCGTGGAGCCTCCTGGGCCGGACCTCATTTCCGGATGAGGACTCGGTGTGGGAGTGGGGAGCCGCTGGAGGGCTGATGAGTGGGCCCCGTGGGCACTCTGGGGCGGGGGTGCGTGGGACTTACACACTGACCCCCTCAGCACAGGGGAGGGGTGGGCACCCTGTGTGTAAATCCGTCACCACCTGGCACGTGTCCCACTCTCCACAGGGGGTCCTGCTGGGACGTCCCAGCCCCGGGACAGGGACTCACCAGCCTCCAACTCCCCTCCGCTCTACAAGCCCAGCTTCTGCTGGGACGCCCTGGCCTCGGCCTACAGCCACAGCTACCGGCAGGCCCCCTCCACCACCTCCTCGCCGGGCCTGGACGCGTACCACTGCGTCAAGTGCAGCAAGGTGAGCGCCCATCCAGGCCCCGGCTGGCAGAGTGGGCACGCGCAGCTGGGCGACCCCGGGCGCCGCGGGTCCCGTGGTGGGACCGGGGCCTCAGAACCTTGTTCTCATCACCCGTCCTTGAGCCCTGACCGTGTGCCCAGCCCTGTGCTGAGCACGTGACACGCATGAGCCGGGGGAGGCGGACGCAGGTTCAGAAAGGGTGAATCACTTGCCCAAGAGCACCCAGCAAGGAGATATCAGAGCCAGGCGCAGACCTGCCTCCGGCCAACTGTGGTCTTTAACCACTAGGCTGCCTATTCAGCTCTAGAAAGGGCGCGAGGGGCCTTCCAGACCCCCCAGCCCCACTTTACAGACAGGAAACCCAACCACAGAGGGAAAGGGGCCCAGCCCCCACCCCCCGATGGCTTCATGCGCTGTCCCCACCCCCAGGTCTTCTCCACCCCACACGGGCTTGAGGTGCACGCCCGTCGCTCCCACAGCGGGACCCGGCCCTTCGCCTGTGACGTCTGCGGCAAGACCTTCGGCCACGTGGTCAGCCTGGAGCAGCACACGCACATCCACTCGCAGGTGGGCAGCCGGAGCCGGGACCCCCTCCCTCTGCGCTCCTCCCAGGAGGCCGGGGGGGCTACGGCTGGCCTGTCGCCCTGCCCCTGAGGGTGACTGCGGGCCCCTCGCTGCCTGCTGCCCTTGTCGGCGTCTCCAGTGCCCACTCCTGACACATTCACCCCGACAGACCGAGTGGGCTTCACGCACAATTGCAAGAGGCTCTGACCCAGGCTGGCTGTGGGGGCCGCAGGGTGTCTGTGAGGCTCAGCAATGCCCCCCCCTGCCCCACCCCCCGGGGGCAGGACAGGAGTTCCCGCCTCGGAGGCCCTTGACCCTTGGCCTCTCAGAGTCAGGCTTCCCCTGCGTCTGGTCCCACGGAGCCCTCCCTGAGGCCGGAACCCCTTCTTCGGGATTCATTCTGGCCAAACAGCCCCACTGACCTGAGTCGCTGGCCCGGGGTCAGGTCGGGAAGAAGGAAGTTTCGCGAGCGTTGCGTTCGCGAGCACGAACCACGGGCCAGTCTCCACCTGCAATCCCCCCGACCTCTGAGGTCATCGCCGCTCCCGCTCCAGGTGCAGATGAGGAGACTGAGTCTCGGGAGGGGAAACACTTGCCTGTGGCCAGGTGGCTAGTGAGATGCAGAGGCCAGACGCAGGCCTCAAAATCAGACTCCACCAAACCGCACCCCACGGCCATCCCGCCCCCAGGAACTCACTCTGGGTTAAGGGACGTGAAATGTGAACCCCCTCCCCCCAAAATACACCACTCCCCCCAAAATACACCACTCCCAGATCAGTGGGTCCATCAGCCCGCCAACAAATATGTCTTTTGTTTGGGATCCCGTGAAAGTCGCAAGGAAAAACCCACAGGAGGCTGCTCGGCCGGAGCCTCAGCCCCTCCTGGGAGGCAGGACGGGGGGCCCTGGGGCCTGCCCCTCCAGGCCACCCCAACAGACTGTCCTGTTCCTCAGGGGATTCCGGCCGGGTCCAGTCCTGCGCCGGCGCCTGACCCCCCAGGGCCTCGTTTCCCCCGGCAGGAGCGCAGCTTCGAGTGCCAGATGTGCGGCAAAGCCTTCAAGCGCTCGTCCACCCTGTCCACCCACCTGCTCATCCACTCGGACACGCGGCCCTACCCCTGCCAGTTCTGCGGCAAGCGCTTCCACCAGAAGTCGGACATGAAGAAGCACACCTACATCCACACGGGTGAGCCACCGCCAGCGCCACCCGCCCGCCGGCACTCGGGGCCGCAGGGCCCAGGCAGAGTCTGGGCACCCCCACCTTCCACTGTTCAAAGGCCCCGGTTTTAGGACAGTGGGGTCAGGTTACGTGGGGTGCCCCCCTGCCCCCGCCCCCAACAGGAGGGCTGGAGGCACTGTGTTGCTTAAGTTCACTTACTGGTAATGCACAGAGAAAATGCTGGAAGGAAACAGCACAGGTCAGCAATGTTGATCTCAGGGTAGAAGGGAGACTAGCAGGTGCTTTTGTCATTCATTCATTCATTCATTCATTCATTCATTTATTCATCCCTCCACTCATTCATTCATTCACTCCTCGGCTGTTGCCCGAGTGCCTCTTTTGCACCCGGCTCTGTGCCAGGGGCTGCGCGAGATTGATAAAGCAGAGAGATCCAGCCCCCACCCCAACCAGGGTACAATGCAGTGCAGGGCGGGGAGGTGTCAGAGGGAATGTGGGTTGGTCCTGAGATAAAACATAATAAAATTTCAGAGAACAGATGCAGGGCGCGGGGGCACAGCCGGCCCTGACGCCGTCCTTGCTGCCCCGCAGGTGAGAAGCCACACAAGTGCCAGGTGTGCGGAAAGGCCTTCAGCCAGAGCTCCAACCTCATCACCCACAGCCGGAAGCACACGGGCTTCAAGCCCTTCAGCTGCGAGCTCTGCTCCAAGGGCTTCCAGCGCAAGGTGGACCTGCGGCGGCACCGTGAGAGCCAGCACAACCTCAAGTGAGGCTGTGCCCCTCCCAGCCCCTCCCAGCCCGTCCTGCCGTCCTGTCGCCCGGAGGGAGGCCAGCCTCGTGCGCCCAGAGCCCCAGTCTCCCGGGGGCAACACTGGATGGGAGTCCTGCAGCTTGTTTTGAGACTCAGGAGACAGCTGTGTGACTTTGGGCAAATCGCTTTCCCTCTCTGGACCCATGGCTCTCCTGCTGTAAAGTGTGGGAGCTGGGTTGGGTCTTTTCTGAGCTGAAGGTATAATAACTTGGGTGCCTTCCCCAGGGCAGAGCCCAGGCCAGAGCAGCCCCACGTGGACCACGATGCCACGATCAGACCGGACCCGCAGAGCCGGGACCCACAGAGAAATCCTCCCGGTGCCTTCTGCCCACAGCGCTGGGATCCGGTCCCCTGGGTCTTTAGGGGGCCTCTTTTGGACGGCCAGATGGTCAGAGCCACCTCCTGCCCCGGGGGGATGCCCAGCACCCCGCTGCTTCAGCCAGACCTGCTGGCTACCCCCGACTTCTGACTAGCACTCAGCTGGGCTCTGGTCTGCCCTCAGACCTCCGGGCTGGAGAAACCAGCAGTTATTGCCTGTTCCCCTCAACTGTACATGGAAATAAAGACACAGATTTATTTACATCTGACCAGCATGTATGAAGGGCCTCCTGGGTGCAAGCTGACCCCCTTTGGGGGCGGGGAGCTTTGAAAAGCAGAGGCAGCTACGCAGCTGCCCTCGGACAGCTGGGGAGCCGAGGCCCAGGCCTCATGGAAAGGGCTGGAGCAGAAGCATGGGACCCCACAGGCTGTGACAGGGTCACAGGTCACGCAGCCAGGGCTGTGTCCGTTTCCTGTGGCGGCTGCCACCAGTCACCACAAACTCAGCGGCTTCGAACAACACAAGTCTATTCTCCGACAGTCCCGGGGGTTCAGAAACCCCATGTGAGTCGCCCAGGGCTAGACTCAGGGTGTCATGGAGGGCACCCCGCGAGGGGCTCCAGGGCAGGTGGCTTGCTCCAACTTCCAGAGGCCGTGGAGTCCTGGGCTTGTGGCCGCCGCTCCCGCCTCGAAGCGCATCAAGCTGACCTCTGACTCCCCTCCCGGCTCCTCCGCCTTCACCTTCCTGCTCCCTCCCGAAAGGACCCTACTGATCACCGGGGTCCACCTGGCTGACCCAGGGTCAGCTGGGCAAGGTCCACGTGATCACTGGGGTGGGCTGACATCCATGCCCTGGTCCCTGGAGCTGGGAATGTTGGCCCACACGGCCAGACATGATGCAGTGAGGCCTGGAGCCACCCTCACCAGCTGTGGGCTTCAGGCGAGCACCTCCGCTGTGGATGGTGGGCATAGCGAGCCCTCCCTGGGGGCGTTGGGAGGGCCCGAGACCAGGTGTGCACGGCAGTGAGCAGGCCCAGCGCAGGGCGAGTTCAAGGCCGGCTCGAACGCCGCCCTCCCGTGGTCGCTCCCAGCCCAGGTGCTCCCACCTCTGAACACGGAGCTCCTGGGGCTCCTGCTCACAGCGCCGGACCCCCTGAGCCTGGCCGGTGGTTGTCTGTGCGTAGCTAGCGTGCCCTTTGCCAGAAGGTACTTCTCTGGGCGCTCGCTCTCTGCACCCAGCCCAGGCCTGGCCCAGGCAGTGGACACCTCTAACTGAGTCACTTCCCAGTGCTGAGCGGAGGCCAGGGCTTCCACACACTGCCTCTAACCTGTGCCACGCTCCCATTTTACAGAGGGGGCAACTAAGGCTCAGAGAGGCTGGCCAACTTGCCTGGGGTCACACAGCGGGCGAGTGCAGAGCTGGGGCCAGGATATCTGATTCCAAGCCCTTGGGGTCTCCATTCACCTTCCTCCCAATGAAACCGGAGGTGTTTCCTCGGTCCTTGCCCCGCACGGGTTCTGAGGCCGCTGGGGGCCGGGAACTCCCCGGCTCTGGGTTTGGCTGGGCAAGACCCTGGCCTATTTCATTCCTATTTACCTTAGCCAGAATTCCCCTGACAAACCTGTCGGAGGGTGTGGGGTGGGGTTGGACATTTGCATGGGGAGGTGGGCAACCTCCTCGCAGGCTCCCAGTTCCTGTCCTGCAGGCCCGGCTCTTGCAGCCGGAGGAGAAGGGCCTCTAGCAGCCAGCGGCCGGAGCCAACAAGGCTGGAGACCTCCATCCCCCTCCTGTCTGTGAGGTGGTGAGGCCCATGCAGGGGTAGGGACTTGCCATGAGCCGCCCCGTGGACCAGGCCTGCAATGGGCTCCTGACCCCGGGGTGAGGGCCCTGCCCTGCACCTTCTAGATCTGGGGAAGTGGGAGGGTGGGTGCTGGGCACACACACACACACACACACACACACACACACACACACACACCACGGGAGCTGCTTTGCATGTTCCTTGTTTGCTAAACAAAACCACAGCAATACCAGGATTTCAGCCACTTCTGCGCAGGGCGGGCCGAGAGCGAGACAATGCGCCTTTCTTCGTGTGCCCAGGTTCAGGGTGATCAGGATTTAGCCAGTGGGCCCCTCCACTGAGGGGGGTAGCGGGGGCTGGCACTGCAGCCTCAGAGCAGTGGGGGCTGGACCCCGTCTGCACGCTGCAGAGAAAGGGGGCCCGAGTGTGGGCAGGGATGGGGGCGCTCTGTGGAGTCTGCTTCTCCCTCTCTCCTCCTCTCCTCCCACAACAGAAGCAGCGGTTGGGTTAGGGGCTGCGTGGAGTGCACCCCGCTCCTCCCGCTCCCCTCACCGGAAGGGCAGGCATGGCCGCTGGACGAGGCTCTCAGAGGGCCCAGCCCACAAGCCCGCGCCGTTCTCTGGCTGCGAGCTGAGCTCCCCGTCAAGTCCTGTCCCTTCCTCAGGATCAGGGCCTGCTCATCCCACTGGGATTGGTGGCCTACCGGTGGGTGCGGTGGGGAGCCCCCCCACTGTGTGATTGGAGGGGGTTCGACTGTCCTCTGCTTCTCATCCCCCCACTTCCTCCTGCCTGGACTCCCACCACCCGAGTCGCGGTGTGGGAACCGGGAGGCAGTGTCCAGCCTGAGAAGAGGCCGCGGCTTCCCTCCGAGACACCAGGGCGCCGGGGCCCAGAGGGGAGGCGGTGGCCCCCGTCTCACCAGCCACCGTGCCTGTTAGCGCCTGTCACACAGAATCCGGGTTTCCTGACCCCCAGGCTAGGGGCCTTCCCAGCAGGGCGATGGGGGTGATTGCATGATGCCAGGGGGGCCCGTTTATATGGGACAGGGTGTGACCGGTGGCCTCTGACGGTGCACAGGGCGAGGGGGACTGTCGCATGCCTCTGATGGCCGCGCTGACCCCAATGCTGAGGGCGGGCTGGGTGTGGGCGGGGCCACGTGAGACTTCAGGAAGGTGCCGGGGACGCAAGCTAGAGCTTCGATTTACTCACCAGCAAATGACAAAACCAGTATCTTACCCACATTAGGGAGCAGAATGCAACCTCTGAATTACTTCCCGGAGAAAATGTCCCATCAGTGGTGGCAGCTTCAGGCTACATCCCCAGCCCATGTGCTCCGCACCCTCTTGCTTGGGGGTCACATGGCCCCCGCAAACAAGTCGCACCCCAGCAGGGCAGCCAGACCCCCCACCCCCAGCCCCAGGACCAGGGCCCCTGAGGGACAAACTGGGAGATGCCCAGAGGAGGTGGCCATGGAGTCACTGATAAGGATGGAAATGTGCCTCCAGGGCCGGCCCAGGCCTGGGTGTGTGGCTGAGCTGGCCCCAGCCCGGCCCCATCAGTCACTGCCCTGAATGGAGAACGCCGGGAAGGAGATGGACAGCAGGCCTGGGAGGAGGCAGGGCCTGGAGGCGGGGACAGTGGGGGAGTGGAAGGGTGAGGGTTCTGGATTATGGAGGAGAGTAGGTGCTATTCCCAACGTTCCCTAGAGACCAAACATGGCTCCCCCATGGACTGCAGACTCAAGTCCCAGCCCCTGGCCTGGCCTGGCCTTCACTGTCCTAGACCGGCTCCTACCCAGAGTGGGGCGGGCTACTCCAGAGAGAAAGGTGGGGCGAAGGGGGGTGGGGGGGAGGAGGCAGGAGACCCGCCAGCCTCAGGCGGCCAGAGAATGACTGACGGAGACTGTTCTGGCCAGAAGCTACGAGGCTGGGAGGACCGCCCACAGTGGGGCAGCAGAGGGTCTCGGCCCGGGAGCGCAGTGGGCCCGGCGGCTGGAGGCCCATCCCAGCCAGAGTGACAGCAGCCCCTGGTGTCAGCCAGCTCCCGGCTCAGGCTGCCCCCGGGGAGCCCCTCCCCAGGGAGGGAGGACGCAGGACGTCAGGGCCAGACCCTGGCTTCCCCGAGACGCTGGACGAGCAGCCACGTCTTTCCCGGGAATTCTTGATGTCATTTCTCGCCCTCGTGCTTTGCCCACGGTGTTCCCTCCACCTCCCCCCTCCCCAAGCCCTGGAAGCCAGCTCAAGTACATAGATTGCCCACGTGGGCTCACCCCCAGCCCTCCGCTCTGCTCCTGGGAATCTGAGTTGAAGACTTGGTCGTGGGTGGGCACAGCGAGCAGCTACGGGGCCGTCTTCCGAAGCCCCCGGGTCACGGGAAGCATTGGAACATCAGCTCTCGCGGAGGAGACTGGCTGCATGATCAAGGGCCTGTCCACGCCGTGGCCAGCGGCCACGGGAAGGCCAGGGCGTGCTAGCCGGCGACCTGGCGCTGTGTGGGTGAAAACAGTTTCTCCGTCGTGTGCGGCCCTGTGGGAACAGCACCACCCACTCCTGCCGACGCAGAGCAGCCCCGAAGGAAGTGCAGCCAGCCATGGAGGCAGCCGTTTCGTGGCCAGGAAGGAGGGCTGGGCCTCCCTCTGCATGCCGTCTGCCAGAGACTCGGACTTGTGTGTGTGTGTCTTTTTTTTACTTAAAAAAATTTTTTTTTGAAGAGAAAATAGATGTTGCAGAGCAAATGTGTCAATAGAGGAAGCTGTCCGCGATATCGTAAGTGAAAAGTGGTTTAAAAATCACTATACGCCACATGATTCCATTTTGTTCGCTGCAAACGCGGGGAAGGAAGCCGCGGGATGAAGAGCGGCGTATCACCAGTGGCCGAGGACAGGGGGGGCTGCGCGTCTTGGTCTCCTGTTTTTTTGGGGTGTTTGTTGTGTTTTTCTGCAGTGGGCGCACACGATAACATTATCAGGGGCATTAAGTAGACTCCCTCTGCACAAACACCCTTTCCCTGCCTCGTGTTGGCCTCTCCGCCCCTCCCTGCAAGCGGCTGGCCTCCAGGGTCCCGTGGGCGTCCTGTGGGGTTCCTTTCTCCTCCACGGTGCTGGCTGTCCTGTCCCCAACCCCCAGCCCCTGTCCCCCTCCCAGCACCTAGTGGGTCCCCAAGAAGTCTAAGGTGGCCATACTACCCCCTCAGGGTCCCTGGCGCCTCCTTGGCAGGTGGCGGGGATCCCTAAGGTGGAACCCTGCCTTGGGAGCAGTGGGGTGCACACTGGCTGTGGGAGGACTGGTGTCCCGCCGCCATTGGGCCCCAGGAGGGAGCCAGGCAGGCCCCGGGCTCCATGGGGGCGGGGGGTTGGTGCAGGAAGGCAGGAGGAGGGAAATCTGAGGCAGGGGCTGTGCTGAGCGGCGGGCTCGGGGTTGGCTGATAAGTTTATCACAGGGTGCCGGCTGCCAACCGTCAGCATGGAG